ATCATATAGATTCCAGTAGACCAACATACTGCACCTTCTTGGCCTCACTTTTTTTAACTGACTTAAGCGAAGCGGTACAATTCATGCATTATCAGTAGGTATCAATTGTTTTCATGGACTGTTCAGTATTCCTATATTCCTCGTTTACCTTTAGTAATTATAGCCAGATAAAAACCTAGAAAAACAACCAACACGGTGATAGCACGTTCCATCTTTAAAGAGCATTGCGAAGTAAGTGCATTAAGTTCCGTCCCGATCTAATGTTTGCCACAGCTACATTACATGTTTACCTTTTACGTAAACTCTTACTTCATCAGTTATTCCTCCAGCAATCCATGTATACAAATTTATATGCTTATGGGCATATAAAAATAAATTTTTTTTTGCTGTAAAAAGTAAAAAAAACATTAACGTAATAAATGCCATTCTCAATGCTGAAATGCGACAGAACAATATATATATATATATATATATATATATATATATATATATATATATATATATATATATATATATAGCTTGAGCTCCTTGATAAAAGCCAAAGAAGAATCAGATATATTATTGATCTGGCGTCTTGGCTTCAATCACTGTCCCACTGCCTTAAGCTTGACTCTCCACGCCTTTTTTTAAAAATAAATACTTACATGGTGATTATTGTTATTGTGTCTGAATGAGTGTGTGTTTGAGTGAGTGTTTGGGATGAATGATTGTTTTAAATTATTAAAGTCCCGCATTCATTTCGTCCAGTTTCTGCCATGATTATGGGGGCTTATTACTAATACTGTTTTGTTAAGATCCTTGTATATAGTTTTGTTCATTTTTGTAAATATACATTGGGGTTTAGAATTTTAAATTGTTGGGAGTAGTTAGGATTTTCATAGAGATACTGAGGTATTATGGTGAATGTAGTAAGCGAGGTAAGAATGCGTTGGTTTGGTGTAAGGAATATTGTTGTATTTTTTGGGTCAGTGTTTGTGGTTAGCTAAGTTTAAATTTAAGACAGAAGAAGACCGTCCTTTTCCCCATTCCCTATTTTGGCCTTGTGCCACATTTTGTATCAGTGTACAAATAAATATCGCTTTCCTCTCTGGTACCGAGACCTTTTTATTTAATTAAGCGCAGTAGTAGACTGGTGTCGAGACCTCATCAATTTATAGTTTATCTATCTATCTATCTATCTATCTATATATATATATATATATATATATATATATATATATATATATATATATTCATCGAGTGTAGAAGAAACCTCAACAGAATGCAGAAAGCACTCCTATGTTTGGAACTCATCAGCAGTGCGCATCCACTACCGAGAACTGAAACCCCGACAGTTACGTTATCAGGTAAACGTCAAATCAACTGTTCCAACGGTGACGAAGAAGTAGCCAATCAGACTCGATATAGCGCCGATCGATCACATATTCCGTGGTAGAACTCATCCGAGTTTCTCTTTTAACCATAGGATTGTGCCCCCACGAGCCACGACTACTAGCCCCAAACCGCTCCATCCAGAGCATTAGAAGCCGGTTCAACAAGGATATACAGGTGATAGAAATTAGGGGGATTTGAGATAATTATAATTAATAATTCATATATATATATATATATATATATATATATATATATATATATATATATATATATATATATATAGTGCAGTATAATTAATATTAAAATGAAGCAGTCATGCAAGGAATAAATTAGCAAGGTTAATGTAATAAATAGTGAATTCACTTCGCTAATAAATTTAAAAAATATTAACCAACTAACAACACGTTGAACTACGCGATCCGTATGTTGCATAAATATGCTAGTACTTTCGTTATCTCATCGTATCATCTTTGGCCATGGATATTATTTTTCTCTTTAAGTAAAATTCAGGTAACATCCGAGACGAAAATAAATGTAATGCAAGTCAAAATATGTTTTTTTTTTTAAGTTTATTGTTAACAGTTACAAAATTGTGCAGCGTGCAGTCCCAACGCTAAGGTTGAATTTCGGGGAAACAACTATGACATTTCTCTAGTTATTGGATCGTTTTGTCTATGGCATTTTGCCTGATAAAACACTTACAACAATAAAATTCTTCGAATTACCATATTAGTAAATTCAAAAAATGCTCTCACTTAAATTTTCAAAATGATTTATTAGTGAAATTTAAAACAAATCTCTACCTCTTTTCGTAAATTAAAGGCGTAATTTTTTTTAAAAAAATCTCGTATTGAGCGCTTTTTAAAAAGATAAATGCAACGAGCTGTGGAGTTTTTCCATTTGTTTTTTCCCTCATTTGTATATATATATTAGTACATTACTTTGCACACACAAATATACAGTTCATACACACACACACACACACACACACACACACATATATATATATATATATAAAAGTGAACATTGAAGTCAACACTTAGAGACGACAGTCTGTTTCATACAAGACGCCATCCTCAGGCCACGATTGCGTCTACCATGAAACAACCTGTCGCCTCTGAGTGTTGACTTCAATATTCACTATATTCCACACGCTCTGTCTCTGATATTGAGCACTTTATCCCATAAATATAGCACACCTTAAGACTATATTATATATATATATATATATATATATATATATATATATGTAGAAATATAGTCTTATATATATATGTGTGTGTGTGTGTATATATATATATATATATATATATATATATATATATATAATCCTTTGAATTTTTATCAAAACAGTAACCAGTTTATAATACATATTTTTTTTCTGATGGTTGCATTTTAGATAAAAGAGAACTAAAAGTTCAAAAAATTTAATTGCTGGGGTACTTTTAAATATTTCGATGAAGCTGTTTAAATATTCATCAGAGAGGAAATAATTTTATTTATTCTCAATTGCTTTTCAATCGACAGATCGTTGAAGCAGGTGCTTGTTAAATTCAAACTGTGGAAAATGTTTTTACTTAGTCTCTTTTCTGTTGGGACGTTTAAAACCTATTTTATTTAATAACAGATTTATTTATATCACCGGAAAAGTCTTACACAATGTGCGTGTGTGTGTATGTGTGTGTGCGCGCGTCGTGTGTGTGTGTGTACGTAAGCATGGTATGTATGTGTTTATACCTAAAGTTACTTAATTTTGCGTGTATATGTATTGAGATAGGTAATGCAAAACATATCCATCTCTCTCTCACAATTAATATCTCTTTTTTTTCTCTCTCTCTCCCTCTTTCTTTCTTTCTAGAACTCTCTTTCTATCTCTTTTTTTCTCTCTCTTTCTTTCTTTGTCTTTCTCTCCCTCTTTCTTTCTCTCTTTCTAGAGCTCTCTTTCTCTCTCTCTTTTTCTCTTTCACTGTCTCTCTCTTTCTTTCTTTCTTTGCCTTTCTCTCCCTCTTTCTTTCTCTCTTTCTCTCTCTCTCCTTCTTTCTTTCTTTCTTTCTTTCTTTCTTTCTTTCTTTCTTTCTTTTCTTTCTCTCCCTTTCTTTCTCTCTTTCTTTCTTTGTCTTTCTCTCCACTTTCTTTCTCTCTTTCTCTCTCTGTTTTTCTCTCCCTCTTTCTTTCTCTCTTTCTCTCTCTTTCTCTCTCTGTCTTTCTTTGTCTTTCTCTCCCTTTCTTTCTCTCTTTCTTTCTTTGTCTTTTCTCACTTTCTTTCTCTCCTCTCTCTTCTTTCTCTTTCTTTCTCTCTTTCTCTCTCTTTCTTTCTTTCTTTGTCTTTCTCTCCCTTTTCTTTCTCTCTAGAGCTCCTTCTCTTTCTCTTTCTTTTCTCTTTCTCTCTTTCTCTCTCCCTTTTTCTTTCTTTCTCTCTTTTCTTTCTTTCTTTCTTTCTCTCCTTTCTCTTTTTTCTCTTTCTCTCTTTTTTCTTTCTTTCTTTCTTTGTCTTTTCTCTCCCTTTCTTTCTCTCTTTTTCTCTCTTCTCTCTTTTTCTCTTTCTCTCTCTTTCTTTCTCTTTCTCTCCCTCTTTCATTCTCTTTCTCTCTCTTTCTTTCTTTCTTTGCCCTTTTCTCTCCCTCTTTCTTTTCTCTTTTCTCTTCTCTTTCTTTCTTTCTTTCTTTCTCTTTTCCCTTTCTTTCTCTCTTTTCTCTCTTTCTTTCTTTGTCTTTCTCTCCCACTTTCTTTCTCTCTTTCTAGAGCTCTCTTTCTCTCTCTCTTTTTCTCTTTCACTATCTCTCTCTTTCTTTCTGTCTTTCTCTCCCTCTTTCTTTCTCTTTCTCTCTCTTTCTTTCTTTCTTTGCCTTTCTCTCCCTCTTTCTTTCTCTCTTTCTCTCTCTCTCCTTCTTTCTTTCTTTCTTTCTTTGTCTTTCTCTCCCACTTTCTTTCTCTCTTTCTCTCTCTTTCTTTCTTTGTCTTTCTCTCCCTCTTTCTTTCTCTCTTTCTCTCTCTGTCTTTCTCTCCCTCTTTCTTTCTCTCTTTCTCTCTCTTTTTTCTTTGTCTTTCTCTCCCTCTTTCTTTCTCTCTTTCTAAAACTTTCTTTCTCTCTCTCCTTTTCTCTTTCTCTCTCTTTCTTTCTTTGTCTTTCTCTCCCTCTTTCTTTCTCTCACTCTCTTTCTCTCTCTCTTTCTATCGCTCTCTTTCTCTCTCTTGCTATGTCTCCGAGAGAATCATTATGTGGAGCCACGGTAGATTTCTTAAGGAAACATCAAAATTTATAACTTTTTGGAAGACCTTCCTATGTGATGTGTGTGTATGTGTGTAAATATCGTCCTCTGATAGATTTTTATGAACTTCTCTTCCAAGCTATCTTCTCTTTCAAAGTTATTGAGAGTGTCGCTATCGAATCTTGCCAAAAAGTAAACTCACATGCAGGATATTTTTCAAATATCTCCATTCCTAAAAGAAATACTGTTTTCCCATGCCAACATATATGATCATAATTAAAAAAAATAATAATAAATCTTGTCAAACTGTTAAATAATAACTTTGTATTATTTAACATAAATACATAATATATCAGATTAAAATAAAATAATAATAATAAATAATTACAATAATAAAAAAGTAAATAAATAAATATAAATAAATAAATAAGAAAATGAAAAAATCAATAATATTCATTGTATTATTTCATTTACAATCCTTCATAGTTTACCTTGACTTTCAAAGTTTTTTTCTTTTTTCTTTATTCACACACACACACACACACACACACACACACATATATATATATATATATATATATATATATATATATATATATATATATATATGGGTAAAATGCCAGGACTGACTGGGTCCTATTGCCTTAATTGGTGACTAGTCTAGGAGAGGGAAAAGTCTAGAATTTAAACCGAACCTAGAGAGATGTGCCCAAGACACACCACTTCTACTACGGCTGCAGTACATGTGGTTCCCCTTAGACCCTAATATGTTACAGGATTCGTGATCTATAATGAACAGAGACATAGACATACGGTAAAAGAGAGAGAGAGAGAGAGAGAGAGTGCGAGAATGGGAGTAAACGAAAGAACATAGTGCATGTATGATGCACAGGCAGAAACATATATATATATATATATATATATATATATATATATATATAATTGTCTATCTATCTACCTATCTATCTATATGTATGTATATATATATAGAGAGAGAGAGTAAGAGAGAGAGAAAGAGATAGATAGATAGATAGATAGATAGATAGATAGATAGATAGATAGATAGATAGATAGATACGATCTTTCCCAGAAACTATAACTAAAGTCTTCTCAGCATAGTTGCAGTATAAACCACACGTGGGCTCTGTGGGTGTTGAATAAACACAAATGTGCCTGAGCAAGCATCTGCAATAGGGATTGGCTAGCCGCCCTTTGTAGACGGGTAACCTCAAATACGAGTGGCCAGCCATACATATATAAATATGTATATATATATATGTGTGTGTAAGTCCATGTGTGTGTGTGTGTACTATCGTGAAATATCATTAAAAAATAGAATAAGCAATTTCCTACAAATATATATGCGTATATGTTTACCTACACTCCCTACTTGATGTTAACAATAAATGAGAAAAGCATAAAGAGAAAAAATGAATTGATAGTTCGATGCTTTAACAAGCATCGTGTTATCAATCATTTATTTGAATTTAAAAAAAAATATTTTAACAATTCACAATAAATCCCAACTATAAAAATGGCTACCATAGCATCAGGGCAGATTTTACAAAATGAATATTAAGTGAATTTCACAAATGTATTATTGAGCCGAAGATTTTTAAACTATTAACCCTGTTGTAATAAATTATTTTTAATTTAATGGATTTTCTTCGGATATAATCATGTTATACAGCTCCTTCGAAATAAAATAAATATCTTTCGAAGTTACAAAAATCTCAGTAGCTATACAAACATTGATAATATACCCTTAGTCAATAAATAAATAATAATCTATGACTTTAAAGACAAAGGTTTCAGAATGTTGGCTTTCCTCGTAAGCTTCAGGGATACGGTATTACAGGATGATTATTTGATTAATACAATCATTCCTGCCAAACCGTGAAATGAAGGTCGTCCTAAACTGGTTCTCCTCCGGCACCTTTATCCCGAGCGCTGATGTTACCCGAGGCTCTATCTTGGGCCTTACACTGTTCCTGATCTTCATAAATGACCTTGCTGATGCCATCAGTTCCCAAAGTGGCATCTACGCGGACGACACTAGTACTTACTCCTGCCTCAATAGTAAATCTAGTATCGTTGACAAAACTATCCTGGGTGATGATCTCGAAAAGGACGTCCAATCTGTGGTTGACTGGGTCAGGAAATGGCTTGTAAATTTTAATGCCTCCAAAACGAAACTGCTCTCCTTTACTCACCAAAGAACCATCCCTTCCTCCCATCAGAATGACTGATTCCCTAATCCTTGAGAGCGCCTTGTTACGCCTATTTGGTCTCACGCTGTCTACTGACATGTGGTGGAATAAATACATTGAATCAATAGCTTCATCTACCACAAGAAACGTTGACTGTCTGTGTCATGCCAGAAAGTTTTTCACGTCTGAGTCTATCATTCAAATCTATAAATCAACCATCCGTCTTTGCATGGAATATTGCTGCCGTATATGGTCTGGTGCTACCGCTGTATGTCTCGAGGTCCTTGACAAAATCCAGAGACGAATATGCAAGATGATAGGTCCTGATCTGGCATCTAGTCTACAATCGCTACCCCACAGACGTGCTGTGGTGTCCCTCTGTTTCTTCTACAAATATTTTCACGGCAACTGTCCCGACGAGCTACTTTCGCTGGTTCTCGGACTACATGAATTTAAATTTGCTACCGGGCTGGTATCTCGGTCCCACCCTTTCACTGTCAAAACGGTTAAATGTAACCGTCTCTTCTACTCAAACAGCTTCTTCTCCTGCACTTCCCATCTGTAGAACTCCCTTCCCCTTACTTGCTTCCCCGATGACTATAATCTTCAAATATTCAAGTGTAATATCAATCGACATCTAACACCCTGCGCTTGTTCCCTGTCCTTCTCTGTATCGTTTCCTCAAACACGCCTCTTTACTCTTTTTCTCAATCCTCTGTAACCACTTGCGTACTAGTGGCACTCCCGTCTTGCTTGGGGTGAATTGCTTTTAAAAAATACCTTTCAGTATTTGTTGCATATCGCAAATCATTGCATAACTGTCTCTGAATAGAGTAATCTAAATGAAAGACAATCATAATTAAGGTTCTTAATGATTCGAATATATTTTCTTCAAACGTACAGTTCGTCTCTTGTTGACAATATTCTCTGCGTCGTTGGATAGGAAGAACTGACATCTGGCTGGATCTCGTCTATTTTTCAAACCTGGGAAGAAGGCTTCTTTTGCTTGCAAATCCATCTTGTTTTCTGCAATCTACTTTTGTATCTAAGGGATACAACTGCTTTATATCTTCATAAATTCTCCTGGATAACAGAAAAAAAAATGTACGAACATGCTCTTCTCATATTTCCCCCAAAGGTATAAAGGAAAAGACGAATTCAATTTTCGCACGACGAAATCTATACGCAGTCATCATCCTGAAGCCAACACCAAAGTTAAACAAACCGGATTTCCTATTCCGTGTTTACGTAGAAGGAGAAGGAGGAGGAGGAAGAAGAAGAAGGAGGAGGAGGAGGAGCAAGAAGAAGAAGGAGGAGGAGCAAGAAGAAGAAGGAGGAGGAAGAAGAAGAAGAAGAAGGAGGAGGAGGAGGAGGAAGAAGAAGAAGGAGGAGGAAGAAGAAGAAGAAGAAGAAGAAGGAGGAGGAAGAAGAAGAAGAAGAAGAGGGCAGCGTTTGTTTATTTCTTTTGCCCTTCATTTATTTTTTCTTTCCTTCTCAAACTATTTACATCTTCTGCTTTCAAAATCAGTTGCCTCAGTTAGTCAGTTCTTTTAAGATATAATTATCTTAAAAGAACTAACTTTCATGACTAAATGTTGTTTTTAAAAATTTACTTTTTTATTTTATTTAATATTCATAAATAAAATTTTACACAAATTAAACGAGGAAAATTTATCAAATACTAAAATCGATTTGTAATACTTAACTTTTTCTGTCCTCCTCTCTCTCTGTCACTGTCTCTGTTTCTCTCTCTCTCTCTGTCTCTCTCTGTCTCTCTCTCCCTCTCTATCTCTTTCTCTCTCTCTATTTTCCTTTTTTTAGGGCAATTCACCACAAGCAAAGACAATAAAATAAGAAAATTAAAGTCCAACGAGGTGAACGATGGAATAACCAGAAAATTTGTTACCGTCGAAATAAGTAATAAAAAATAAAAATGCAACTCGACACTGGTTCCGACCTATCTATCATAAATTTGCATACGTGGAAGAAGTTGGAGACCAACTTTAATGAAGACAAATAAAATCGCGAGGTCAGTGACGGGAGAGAAAAAATACAATTTATTGGAGAATTTGTTAGAAACGTCACGTTAAATAAAAAACGCGAAAAGCTAAACTATTTGTCATAAAAAATACCACGAACTTACTTAGTACGAATTGGATGACAGAATTCCAATTATGGGATCGACCGATAATTCTTTCTGTTACAAGGTTGAAAGTTTAAACTCAGAGGCCAAAAATTAGTAAGGAAACTTAAGGAAACATTTCCTACTGTTTTTTCTCCAGGTTTGGGAACGGGTACCAAGATTGAGACAAAATTACAGCCAAAACAAAACGCTCAGGGGTTGTTCAAAAAGAAAAGGAATTTGCTGTTTGCTTCAATTGAACAGATAGATAAAGAATTGGACAGATTAAAGAAAACCGGTGTATTTAAAAAGTTGATTGGTTAACACCGACGATATACGTGAAAAACGAGCTCCAGAAAGTAAAGATGAAGCCGACACCGAGAAAAACTGGGGAGCGAGTTACCCACAGCGAAGGACATGCAGTATTATTAAATGATTTAAGTCAACTGAAGTCACCACTGAAAACGTTAAGAAGCACAAGATCAACAAAAGGGAAGCTAGAGGTTGAACAAATAGAACCACAAGAAGAACCTACAGAAACTGTGACTCCATCCTAAAGAAGCTCAAAGCGGAAAGTTGTTTCTGGTAACACTTTGGAGGTACCAAAAATAGAAAAGCGGATTGGCTATATGATGTACTTGGTGAAAGGCGAAAAATTCACGTGCAGTAACCAGATCTGACGACGTTTTTCGAACGAGGTTGACAGCGGTCCTGCGGAAGAA